GGGGGTTCTTCATCCAGCTGAACAGGTGGGCCGGAAATGCCTCTCGCGAGTGTGTGTGTGTGTGTGTGTGTGTGTGTGTGTGTGTGTGTGGCGGGGGGGGGTGTGTGTGTGTGTGTGGGGGGGGGGTGTGTGTGTGTGTGTGTGTGGCGGGGGGGAGGGGGTTCTTCATCCAGCTAGGTGGAGCTGGCCGGGCGGAGACCAGGGAAGCGAGGCAGGATGGAATGGAGTCACACGCCAGGGGGTCGGACCAAAGTGAGGACAAGAGGTTTACACCAGGCCCGGAAGTCTCGCTTGGGCCAACCGCCCGCGTAGGAAATCGATATCGCGGCGCCGTTCGAAGGCCGCACTCTCTAACCCGGCCCACTAGCCACCCCTTCCGCATCTCCGCCCTCTCCCCCCCCAGCAGCCAATCGCTGACGCGGCGGCACATCCAGGTGCCGACCCAGCCAATCGCGGTTGAGGGTTAAAAAAAATGAAGCTGAAGACCAATAGGAGCGCCGCTATTGCAACGAAAGGACCAATGGTTACGTGCGACGGGTCACAACGGCGGCCAATGAGTATGCTCATTTCAGGCGGCCAATGGGAGGCGGTGTCTCGGAGGAGATTTGGCGGTGGCTGCCCGGGACTGCGGGGCGGGGTTCGGGGTTCGGGGTTCGAGCCAGAGTCCGGGGGGAAAGGGTGAGCCTGGAAACCCCGGGAAATCCTCTGGAGGGCAGCGGCCGGCGGGAGGTGCGGTGGGAGGCGCGGCGGGAGGCTGCGCTTGGCAGGGGGTGGATAGAAACACCGATGCCTGGTGGGTGCCCATCGCGGCTCCTGCCCCAGCCAGCGAGGCTTTGGGCGGGGGGGTTGGGAGGAGGGGTGCGGGCTCCTGGGTGCAGACGTCACTCCTACCGCATCTGCCAAGCTGGCTCTGCACCCAGTGGGGACGAGGAAGAAGGAAATGGGCATCCCCAGAACCCCATCCGTATTTTCTCAAATGTTAGCATATAATAATAGCGAACATTTAAGTATGTACCGCACGCCAGGCTCTGTGCTGAGCGCTTCCCCTCTCTCATCTCATTGAATCCTCCCAACACCCCTTTGGGGGAGAGACTGCTATATATGCCCATTTCCCAGACCAGGAAACAGGCTCAGAGAGGAGCTGATTCCTGAGGAATCTGGCATTGTGCTATGACGACATGCTCTTCTTCCCATCACTGTTTATTTTAAAAACTGGAGAACTTGGAGGCTTGAGCCCTGGGCCTGGCTCTGGAAAAGTCCAGCAGCTGGATGAGGGGAGAGGGGAAACACAACCCCTCCTAGGCTCAGGGTAGTCAGCAGGGCCTGGGGTCATTCGTGGGGGTAGATGTGGGAGGCAGGAATCTTGGCCTGCAAGAGAAAAATGATCAGGACGATGGAATCAATAATAATGATTTTATTTTTGTTTTTGTCATGTTTGTTATTTTTTCATGCCTGCATTAAGGGCTAGGTGCTGTGGGGATGTCACAGCCTTCTTTTCGTGGCAATGCTTTCCGCATCTTCGTTTTCTGATGGGGAAACTGAGGCCCAGTGTGGCTAAGTGACTTGCTTGAGTTGACACGGGGAGAGCCAAGATTCACTCCCTGGTCTTTCTGACCACACCTGCCTGCCTGGTGATTTAGGGAAGGTGGGTTCAAAGCAGGTTTTTATATTGGTGCATGTTTGTCCAATAAAGAGGTTCAGTGTTGTTCATGACAAACCTAACAGGTGTGGAAGTGTACCCTAACTCCATCAGACAGATGTAGAAATGGGCTCAGGAGGGGAATTGGATGCCTAAAGTCACACGAGTGGGTTCTAGAATCTTCCCCTCAGGCCTAACATCTGGGGGCTGATGGCCTCTCTCTTTCTAGCCAAGCCAGCTGTCAAAAGCATGCCTCTGTGCCATTGGGGTGCCACCACCAGGGACAGCAGGCCTGATGGCGATGGAGCTCAGCCCATGGCCACCAGGGGAGGCCTGAAGGTCCTTCTGCACTGGGCTGGCCCTGGCGGCGGGGACCCCTGGGTCACCTTCAGCGAGGCCACACTGACCGCAGAGGAGGTCTGCATCCACATTGCACAAAAAGTTGGTGAGTCTGGGGCATCGGCCCTGTGGCAGGGGTGGAGGTGCTGACAGCTGCTGGGCCCATCCATCTGTCTGTCCGTCCGTCCGTCTGCCCGTTCATTCAGCAGACATTGAGCAACTACAGTGTGCCAGCCCCAAGTCACTGCCTTTGTAGAGCTGATATTCCAATAGGAAAACTAGCAAGAAACACAATGAATAAGAAAACCGTGTGGGAGGGACGCCTGGGTGGCTCAGTCGGTTAAGTGTCTGCCTTCGTTCGGCTCAGGTCACGATCTTGGGGTCCTGAGATCAAGCCCCACATCAGGCTCCCTGCTCAGCGGGGAGTCTGCTTCTCCCTCTCCCTCTCCCTCTCCCCACCCCAACTCGTGCTCATTCACTCGCTCGCTGTCTCTCAAATAAATAAAATATTGAAAAAAAAGAAAACTCTGTGGGAGAGCAGAGGTAGATGATGGAGAAAAATTAAAAATTGAGGAGAGGAGGGGCGCCTGGGTGGCTCAGTTGGTTAAGCAACTGCCTTCGGCTCAGGTCATGATCCTGGAGTCCCGGGATCGAGTCCCATGTCGGGCTCCCTGCTCAGCAGGGAGTCTGTTTCTCCCTCTGACCCTCTTCCCTCTCATGCTCTCTATCTCTCATTCTCTCTCTCTCTCTCAAATAAATAAATAAAATCTTTTATTAAAAAAAAAAAATTGAGGAGAGGAGAGCCTAGCTGGCTCAGCTGGCAGGGCATGTGACTCTTGACTCCAAGTGAGTTGGGAGCCACAGAGGACTGTGAGCAGAGGAGGGATGTGACTGGACTCAGGCGTCACAGGCGCTCTCTGGCTGCTATGCAGGGAATAGACTGGCGGGTGAGGGTGGGAGCCGGGACACCAGGGTGGCAGTGACCTCCAGGTAGGAGATAAGGGGGAGAGGTCGGCCAGGGCCAGATCTTACGGTGCCTTAAATGCCAGAGGGAGGAGTCCAGCATTTACACTTTCTCCTGAGAGCAGTAAGGAACTGTGGAATGGCTGAAAGAGCCTGTAGTAGAGGTACCAAAAGTTACCATTTCTTCTTCCAGAGGAGGAAGAGGCTCTTCCAGTTGGACCTTGCTTATATGCCCCTTCCTCTGGGAAATCCTCTCAAACGCCCTTCCCCACAACTGGATGGGGTCCTCATGGTGGATTTCTACCACACCTCATACTTTCCTGTTGGTGGCTGATCCTTCAAGAGCTCCGACGGGTGTGCTGGGTGATGTGAAACATGCCCAGCAGAAGAAACAGAATGTGTAAAGAGCCCAGACAGCCTGATCTGTTTAAGGAAGCAAAAGATCTTAAGAGTAACTGGAGTGTCGGTTTCAAGAATTTGAAAAGGGAAGTAGGAATTGAAAGTGGAGCATAATTGTCAGGGTCCAGGTCATAGTTATTATTTCTTTTAAGATTTATTTATTTTATTTTATTTTTTTATTTTTTTAAAGATTTTTATTTATTTATTTGACAGAGAGAGAGACAGCGAGAGAGGGAACACAAGCAGGGGGAGTGAGAGAGGGAGAAGCAGGCTTCCCGCAGAGTGGGGAGCCTGATGTGGGGCTCGATCCCAGGACCCTGGGATCATGACCTGAGCCGAAGGCAGACGCTTAACGACCGAGCCACCCAGGCGCCCCAAGATTTATTTATTTTAGTGAGGCGGGGGAGGGGCAGAAGGAGAGGGAGAGAGAGAGAATCCCGAGCAGACTCCCCGTTGAGCGTGAAGTCTGACTTGGAGCTCCGTCTTACAACCCTGAGATCATGACCTCATCCTAAATCAAGAGTCAGTTTAACCGACTGAGCCCCCCAGGCGCCCCCCAGGTCATGGTTATTCTGTGCTGAGGGGGTTGGGCTTTCTCGTGGGGCAATGGGGAACTATGGAAGGTTTAAGCCAGAGAGTGAAAGAGTCAGATTGGTTCTTTAGGAAGTTGTCTCGCAAGGAGGCAGTCTCCTTCTGTGGGAGGCAATACACTTGGACCCAGCAACTTTGGAAAGCCATTGGCATCATCCAGCATTGTTGGAACACGCGTTCCCTGAGGCCACACAGTTCCACTTCTAGATATTCATTGTTCAGACGCTCAGCTTATGTGTTCTAGGAGACACATACGAGAATGTTGGGAGATGCTTCATGTATCTTAGTGAAGAGTGGGAGACCATCTCAAAGTACCCTCTACAGGAGAACACACAAATTGCAGTAAGGTTGAATGCTGGAAAGCTATACAATCAGGAAAAAGGAAATTTAACCAAAGTTACACATGTCATTTGTGCAGTGTTTTTTTTTTTTTTTTAACTTAATTTTTTTAAGTGATCTCTACACCCAACATGGGGCTTGAACTCATGACCCCAAGATCAAGAGTCACATGCCGGTGCCTGGGTGGCTCAGTTGGTTAGGCGACTGCCTTCGGCTCGGGTCATGATCCTGGAGTCCCGGGATCGAGTCCCGCATCGGGCTCCCTGCTCAGCAGGGAGTCTGCTTCTCCCTCTGACCCTCCCCCCTCTCATGCTCTCTCTCTCTCTCATTCTCTCTCTCAAATAAATAAATAAAACCTTTAAAAAAACAAAAAAGTCACATGCTGTACCGGCTGAGCTAGCCAGGCACCCCTCATGTGTGAGGTTTTAAAACCGGTTGTAGGGGCGCCTGGGTGGCTTAGTCGTTAAACATCTTCCTTTGGCTCAGGTCATGATCCCAGGGTCCGATCGAGCCCCACATCAGGATTCCTGCTCGGTGGGAAGCCTGCTTCTCCCTCTCCCACTTCCCCTGCTTGTGTTCCTGCTCTCGCTGTGTCTCTCTCTGTCAAATAAATAAAAATCTTTAAATAAATAAAACCTGTTGTAACATGAAAAAGTAAATTGTAGAAGGACACCTTTGTGTAATATTGTATTTAGAGTTTATATCATTTGAGACTAGGTCATAGAGGATATGGGAATGATAAACTTTAGTTCAGGAGTATGGTTAACTCTTTGTGGGAAGGGAGAAGAGGTGGATGTAGGCAGGGGCAAGTTTTATGTCTTGTGGTTGTACTTTGGTGATGATAAATTATTCTGAATGCACTTAGATAACGTTTTCAAGTGATGTGTATGAAAGGATGCCTTGGGTGGCCAGTGTGGGGAATGGCAGCAAGTCTGGAGGCTGGGCTATGGCTGGGCTTTGGCTTTGAAGGATCCCAGAGATGGAGGATGCGGAAAGAGCAGGCCTTGTGACCCATCTGATGTGGGTTTCGAGCGAAGTTGAGAACAAGGACCAAGTTCTAGCTTAAAAAACTGGGCAGACAAGAGGCAGGTTTGGGGACCTGGGATGAGGCCCCTTTAGAAGAAGGCACATCTAAGGGGGCTGTGATGTCCAGGGGGAGATAGCCAGGAAGTAGTTGAATATTCCTCCAGGGTTGGAGTTCAGAGAGAGACCAGGCAATGTGTTAGCAGTTTGTAGAGTTGGGCTGGTCGGTCTAGGGTAGGTTCTTGCTGCACTTGCAAGCAACCCCCCACATTTTCCTGGGTCAAGACAATGAAGGTTTACCTAAAATCTAATGCAGGTTAGATGATTCACCTGTGTCTCATACCTTTGGCACAAGGGGTCTTAAACATCCCTGAGGCAGAGGAGATGATAAGAGTTTATTTCCAGGCCTAGAAATCTGTGTGTCCCTTTCGCCAACATCCCATTGGCCAGAAACTGGTCCTGTGGCCCCATCCCAGCGGCAAAGGAGGGTGGGAAATGTAGTCTGTGAAACCACAGCATGGTCACCATGTTTCATCGTCCTCTGTGGGCAGGAGGAGGCCCAGGGAGGGAGGGCCCGTGAGGGGAAACAGCAGGTCTGGGCATCCACAAGGCAGATGGCAGCAGGTGCTGCCTCCTGACCCTCCTTCTCTGTTCCTGACCCTCTGTTCCAGGCATCACTCCATCCTGCCTCAATCTCTTTGCTCTCTTCGATGCCCAGGCTCAGGTCTGGCTGCCCCCAAACCACGTCTTGGAGATCTCCAGAGACATGAGCCTGACATTGTACTTCCGCATGAGGTGGGTGATGGCCCCTTGGGAGCCTTGTCCCCTTTTGTTTTGTGCGCTGGCTCTCGTGTACCCCACCTTCCTGGAGCTGTCTAAGTCTAAGTCCATGCTAAGCCCCAGCAGCGACCTCTCCATCCCGTCTTGCAGGTTTTATTTCCGGAACTGGCATGGCACGAATCCTCAGGAGCCGGCTGTATACCGCTGTGGGCCCCCAGGGCCCAAGTCTTCCTCAGAACAGGCCGAGCAAGGGATGCAACTGCTGGACCCAGCCTCCTTTGAGTACCTCTTTGAGCAGGTGTGTGTAGGGCTAGGCAAGTAGGACTATTTGTGAGGGACTTAGGGGTAGTTGAGGAGCCTCTCCTCTCTCCCCAGTTCACTAAAGCTAGTAGATTTCAACTCATGCCGTCTTGGATCCTCTGGCCACCTGAACCGAAGGGTCCTGAGACACGGAATTGCACGGGGCAAAGTGCTGTGATCAATTCGGGATGTCTGCCACAGGCCGAGGGTTGAACAGAGGAGGCACACGTGCTGTGTATTTGCTGTGTATCCAGAAAACAGGGGTTCCCTCCCATCCCCAGGGTGGACAGAACCTGGGGAGGGAACGGGTGCTCATGCCTCCCTTTCTGCCCAATCCCCGCCCAATCCCCAGGGCAAGCATGAGTTTGTGAATGACGTGGCATCGCTGTCAGAGCTGTCGAGCGAGGAGGAGATCCACCATTTTAAGAACGAGAGTCTGGGCATGGCCTTCCTGCATCTCTGCCACCTTGCTCTCTACCATGGCATCCCCCTGGGGAAGGTGGCCAAGAAGATCAGGTATCTGGGAATGGGGCGGGCACGGGCGTCTGGGAGCCGCGAGAGACCTTGCATACTGCCGTGTTTTCATTCAGCACTTATCTAGTACCTGCTGTATACCTGCGGTGGTACTAGCACTAGTTCTGGGTGTTGAGGCCGCAATAGTAACAAGTCAGACAGCAGTCACCACCCTCCCGGGCTCACATCTGGTGAAGGAGACAGGCAGTAAACAAAATACAAAAGTGAAAGGTCCAGTGTTTCCAATGGTGATAAATGCAGAGGGGAAAATTTAAGCAGGAAAGGAGGAAGAAGGAGAGTGTCAGAGAGGGAGGGGTGTACAACTTCAACTTGGGTGGTTCGGGGCTACCTCATTGAGAACATAGCATTCAAATTCAAAGGTGTGAAGGAAGTGAAGGTGGGAGGCTCGCGAGTGTCTGGGAGAAGAGCATTCTAAACAGAGAGCACATCCCGTGCAAAGACCCTGAGGCCTGCCTGATACGATGGAGGATGTGTGGCTGGAGCAGAGTGAGCTTGGAGAATCCCTTAGGATTCTGGGGAAGGACAGACACGGGGGTGTGGGGAGCTGGGAGCCAGCTGTGGGCTCCGCCGTTGCCGTGAGGGCCCGGGTAATCAGGGTACACTGCCTGGAGGAGGTACGGGTCTTTGAGGACCAGCAGTGTTCCTTAAAGCACGTATCTTTCTGTCCCTGTTGTGTTATCACTCTGGAAGACTCGGGCTGGGACAGCAAAGTCCAGGGCGCTGGCAAGCCCAGAGGAAGTGCCCTCTCTAGCCTGGACGGCAGAAAACACTTCCCAGGGGAGGTGACATTTCTGCTAAGACCTGAAGGTTGAGTCAGCTTTATTCCTATGTGGAATACGTTGGCAAAGCATTCTAGGCAGAGGGAAAAGCATATGCAAAGGTCCAGAGGCAGTAGGCAGCAAAGGCCTGTTTCTTGGGGTTCTGAACTTGGAATACGAGGGCCCGAGAGCAGGAGTCCACGGGGCTCTAGTCAGGCGGCCTTTCTCCCAAGGGCCGTTGGGAGCCCTAGGAAGCCTGGAAGTGGGGACAGGAGTCAGCTAAAACCTGGAGCTTTAGGATCCCTCTGGCCAAGGGGTGGGAGAGAGGGACACGGAGCAATCTGTTACATAAGGGAGCTCTACTGGTTTGGATGCCGGACAGGCAGTGAGGGAAGGGGTGAGGGGGTGGGGCTTTGGGAGGAACAGAGGGAGATTATCTGTTGATAATCATAACACCAGTGATAAAAGCAATATGACTTCTCCAACAGTGAGAGCCCCTGACGGTCACATCTTCCTTAGGATGTGCCAGTCAGCCGCCCTAATTGTCTCAGCCCTGGAGCTGGGCCCTGTCTGACCCCACCTTACGGAAGAGAAGACAGAGCCCTTTAGGGCCTAAGGAAGTTGTCCAAGAGCTGGGATTTTAGCCCCCTCGTCTCCTCCCGAATTCTGACCCCACCCAGCCTCCCTGCACCGGCCCTTCCTTGTGTTCTCTTCCGCCCTGCATGACAGCCTGCCCATTTTCTAGACAAAGCAGCTGAGGTTGAGAGAGGCTAAGCCACTTGCCCAATGGCACCCGGCTAGGCCTGCAGCCCCGGGCTCCTGACCAGCCCTTCTTGGTTGTCCCCCCCCAGCTTCAAGGACTGCATCCCACGCTCCTTCCGGCTGCAGATCCGGCAGCACAACGCGCTCACGCGGCTGCGCCTGCGGAACATCTTCCGCAGGTTCGTGCGGGCCTTCCAGCCAGGCCACGTGTCGCAACAGGTCATCATGGTCAAATACCTGGCCACGCTCGAGCTGCTGGCACCCCGCTTTGGCACTGAGCGCCTGCCCGTGTGCCACCTGGAGCTGCTGGCCCAGGCCGTCGGGGAGCCCTACTACATCCGGGACGGCGGGCAGGCTCCCCCAGAGCCTGGGCCGGAGTTGGCCACCGGGCCCCCCACTCATGAGGTGCTGGTGACGGGCACGGGTGGCATCCAGTGGCGGCCGATACACGCAGAGGTGAGCAGAATGCCTACTCCATCTAGCGGTCCAGGTCGGGCTGGGGCTGGGGCTCCTGCTCAGCTTTGGCCTTGGCTTCCAAGGGGGACTACTGTGAGCCTTTTCCCCACGTGGCTCTGGGCTATGTCTGTCTGTTCCCTGGGGTGGTTTTCCCAGGGAGTGTCCTCTGTCTCTACCCCATGGGGACCTAATTTCTGGGGTCTGCACCTCTGAGGAACCCCTGTCTGGTATCTGGGGGTGCGAGGGCCCAGCTCTTCCTTTCTTCCTCCCTGAGGTTCTGGCTTCTGGAGTGTGGATCTCTTGGGGGAGGGTCCCCATTCTATCTGTGAAACAGACTCGAGTGGGGATGCCTGAGGAGCATCCCCAGTCCCTGCAGCTCCGGCCTCCCCCCAGGGAGAATGTGTGGGAGACTAAACGGGCATAGCCCTGCTTCATCCACCTGCCCCACGTGCTGGGTTTCCAGGGTCCCAGAGGCGATGGCAGCAGCAGGAATCCCCGTGTTGGCCCATTTGGGAAGAAAACCAAGGTCCCAGAGGTGGGCAACCAGCCCGAGGACAGGCCTCAGGAAGCGCCCTGGGCCTACTTCTGTGACTTCAAGGATATCACGCACATGGTGCTGAAGGAACGCCATGTCAGCATTCACTGTCAGGACAACAAGAGCCTGGTGGGGCCTGGGGCTGGGGGCTTGGCGGGGGGTGGGGGCGCCTCTGGCCCGCGAGGCCTGCCTGATGTCCATCCGTCTGTACCCACTCCCCCCCACCCCTGCCCTTGCCCTGCAGGAGCTGACCCTGCCTTCCCGGGCCATGGCCCTGTCCTTGGTGTCGCTGGTGGACGGCTATTTCCGCCTGACCGCTGACTCGAGCCACTACTTGTGCCACGAGGTGGCTCCGCCACGGCTGGTGATGAGCATCCGGGACGGTATCCACGGACCCCTGCTGTGAGTGCTGGGGTGGGGGGTGGGTGGGGAACGGGCACGCGGGTGACGGGGCGAGGTGGCGGCCGCCAGCTAGACCGTCAGCTCTAGGCATGGGGAGGCGTGAATGCGGTGTGCGTGCCTGTTTATGTGTATTCACGTCTTGGTGCGCGTTCATGTTAGTGCGTGTGTGTTCACCCGTACGTGTGCACGTGTGGGAGTGCGTGCACTCGCGTGTGCATGGATGCAGACGTGCACACCAGTGGTGTAGGGGGAGAGAGGGCGCCTGCAGTGGTGTGGACTCGTGTCATGACGGTACCACGGTTTGGGACTGTCGCCGTGCATGTCTGCACGTTTAGCAGCCCGCCTGGCGCATGGCTGTGTTTTATGACTGCGTATAAAATCGTCGTTGCCTGTTCTTGCGGGTGATGGGATGGGTGGTTTTTGTGGAGCTGTGTGTCGCACAGACGCTGGTGGCCATTCACACGTCCGCGTGAGCGTTCACATCCCTGTGGGTGTCCGTCCCGGTCATTGGAGGTCCCGGCCTGTGCAGTTCTGTCCGGACACATGGGGCGGAGAATGTGCAGCGTCTGGGCTTCGGGGGCTCCTCAGACATGCATGTGGCCGTCCTGCATGCTGCTGGGTCAGAGGGTATGACTCTGAGCTTGTGTGGTCATCATGCCTGTTCCTGGCTGTCCCCCCACCCCACCTGTGACAGCAGGACTAGCCGTTGAGGTGTCTTGAGAGGTCTGACCCCTAGGAGCCTAGTCTTTACGCCAGAGGAGGGTGGAGTGGCCATTCTGTCTCTTGAGGGCCAACGTGGTGCCAGGTCACCGCCCAGTGTGCGCCCCCCGACGGGGGTCCGTGGGCCCCATCCGCGGGTGTCCTTGTCTGTTTGGGTGGCTGTAACAGTACTGTTGAGTGGGTGATGCAGAAACAGCGGACCTCACGGGGCGCCTGGGTGGCTCAGTCGTTAAGCATCTGCCTTCGGCCCAGGTCATGATCCCAGGGTCCTGGGATAGAGCCCCACATCGGGCTTCCTGCTCCGCGGGAAGCCTGCTTCTCCCTCTCCCACTCCCCCTGCTTGTGTTCCCTCTCTCGCTGTGTCTCTCTGTCAAATAAATAAAATTAAAACAAAACAAAAAAAACAGCAGACCTCGATTTATCACGGTTCTGGAGGCTGGAAGTCCTAAGTTCAAGGTGCAGGCGGGTCCAGTGTTTGGTGGAGAGCCCCCCACCCTGGTCCACAGACAGCCAGCTTCTGGCTGGGTCCTCACATGGGGCAAGGGGCAAGGGAGCTCTCTGCAGTCCTTTTTGTAAAAGGGCACAAATCCAGTCCATGGGCTCTCCACCCTCTCCGCCTACTCAGCCCCTGGAAGCCCCACTTCCTTGCTCCCTCACGTCGGGGGGGTGGGTTTCGGCACGGGGGCTCTGGGGAGACACGGGCGTTCGGTGGACAGGAGCCTGTGAGCCCCCGCGTGTGTGGGTGTCTGGGCCCGGGTGGTGGCATCACGTATCGTGCCTGTTTGTGCTCATGACAGTTGTCACCTCTGGGCCTGGGATGTCGAGGCGCCTATGCCACCCTGTCACAGTGGGTGTGTCTGTGATTGTTGTGCGGTGTGTGTGTGACAGACTGCCCACCGTGTGGCAGAGTGGCTGGCTGGGCATGTGTCCATCCGATATCTGATCGCTGTCTCCTGTCTCTGTGCGTTACTGGTCAGTGGCGCTGCCTGACCGTTGCCCCGCGCGCATGCCTGTCCTGGTACCTCTTTCATCCTGTGAGTTGTCCTGTGCACAACAGCGTCACACTGGTGTGTGTATGTGCTCAGACTCCCCGTCACCACATAAGTGCCCATGTCTGACATTTGTCCCAGCTGGGAGTGCCCCCCTACGGGCAGGTCCTTTGTGCCCCTGCTGCCAGGCGTGGGGCCCGCAGTACCCCCCATCCCCTGACAGTGGCCCCCTTGTCCCCCGCAGGGAGCCATTTGTGCTGGCCAAGCTGCGGCCTGAGGATGGCCTCTACCTCATCCATTGGAGCACCAGCCACCTCAACCGCCTCATCCTCACGGTGGCCCAGCGTGAGCAGGTGGGCCTGGGGTGGGGGTCCTGGGCTGGGGCTGGGCGCGCTCCCTGCCTGGACCCCTGCTCACCGCCCCCCGCCCCGCCCCCCACCGCAGGCCCCGGGCACACAGCACGTGCATCTGCGTAAATTCCCCATTGAGCTGCAGGCCGGGGGCTTCACGCTGGAGGGCTGGGACCGGTCCTTCCCCAGCGTGCGGGAGCTGCGGGCTGCCCTCCAGGGTTGCTCCCTGCGGGCTGGTGATGACTGTTTCTCCCTGCGCCGCTGCTGCCTGCCTCGGCCGGGAGGTATGACGTGGGTGGCCCTAGGGTGGGGTGGGGGTGGCATCTCCTCCCCCGCCCCCCCCACAACCCAGGCCAGCCCTTGGTGATGCCACCTCAACCCCCCAGAGATCTCCAACCTCGTCATCATACGGGGGCCTCAGGCCAGCACTGGTCCGCCCAACCTCAGCCAGCTCAGCTTCCACCGGATCTGCCAGGATGACATCACCCAGGTGCGTGTGGTCAGAGCTCTCTGTTTATGTGTATTCACGTCTTGGTGCGCGTGCCCTGGGGCACTGGGGAGGGCAGCCCCGAGTGCCCGTCATGGAGATGCTCTGTGCCCTGTTCCTCCAGCTGTCCCACTTAGGCCAAGGCACAAGGACCAATGTGTATGAGGGCATCTTACGAGTCGGGGGCAGAGGCCCCAAGGAGGGCACTGCCGATGATGAGGACCCCCCCACGCCTGGTGGGGACTGTGGGGAAGAGCTCCGGGTGGTCCTCAAGGTGCTGGACCCCAGTCACCACGACATCGCCCTGGTGAGTGAGCACAGCTGGGCGGGGGGGCGGGGGTGCGGGCGGGGGGAGGGCTGCAGGGGTCAGGGTCTGCGGCCACCTGACCTGCCCCATCCCCACAGGCCTTCTATGAGACAGCCAGCCTCATGAGCCAGGTTTCCCACGTGCACCTGGCCTTTGTACACGGCATCTGCGTGCACGGCTCTGAGAGTGAGTGAGCCCTGGTTCGCCCACTTGCACCCCCGCTCACACCTGCCCCTGTTTGCAGGCTGCACCCCGCTTATGCCCACTCCCTGGGTTGGACCCCGACCCTCAGCCTGTGTCTTCCTCACCCCTGACTCCGTGCTCCACCTTGACCTATACCATGATCCCTGACTGCACACCTCAACCTGTGACTACTTGACCTTCAACCTGTACCCCGACCACTGACTATATTCCAACACTCCCCGGACTACACCTTGACTCTTACCTTATCTCAGTGCTGGCTACACCCTCACCCTTGACCCACACCCTGACACCTGGCTATATCCCTAGCTCCGTCACCACCCGACACCTCTACCCCCCAGCCTCTATTTACCCTCTGACTCCACCGGCACTGTGGGACCCCATGCGGACGCCAGCACTGTTGGGCACCCCAGTCCTCCCAGACCTCAGCTCCTGCTCTACCCCCACCCCTACGCTTACTCTGCATGTACCTCAAAACTCCTTGTCCAGCTAGTAGCCCTCAGATCCTCAGCCCCGTGTGTCTGTCTCTCTTGCTTTCCCTCCAACACTGGTCGACACCCCACGAGCACCCGAAGCCTGTGGGATCCTCTCATCACTTACGCCCCAGCCTCAAGCTCCGCACCTCCGCTTGTCTGCACCCGCCCCCAGTTTCCCAGTCCCGTCCTCAGCCTTGTCACTTACGTGTCAGCTTTGCCCAGCTCCCCTCGTAGACTCAGATGTCAGCATTCATCTCTTCCCCACCCTGCACCCACATTGCCTACCTCCCTCCTGCGTCTCCCCTCACCCGAGCCGCTCGCAAGCCGCTCCCCGCATCTCTGCCCCAGTGCCTTCCCCACCCACCGTCCCAGCCCCCATGTCCTGACCCCCGAGTCCTGGAGGGGGGAGGCAGGTGGGCAGCCTCTGCAGCGGCCGGGCCTTTGCAGACATCATGGTAACAGAGTACGTGGAGCACGGGCCCCTGGACGTGTGGCTGCGGCGGGAGAAGGGCCATGTGCCTGTGGCCTGGAAGGTGGCCGTGGCCCAGCAGCTGGCCAGCGCCCTCAGCTATCTGGTGCGTGGCCTCTGGGTGGGGCCGGGATCGATGGGGTGTGCCACGGTGGCCTCAGCATCGGGTGTGGGGGCCTGAACACATGACTGCATCTACACACTGGCCCTGGGGGATCTTTCCATGAACCTCTTCTGCTCACACACCCCTGTGGCTCCCATCTCCCCCAAGAGAAGAACGCCTCACCCCTCTATGTCCCATGGGGCCTGACCTCAGCCCCTCTGTCACTCCCTCTTGCCATTCGTCCCAGCTCCTCCTGGTCCCCAGTCACCCCAGTGTCCAGAGCACCTCTGTGTGCCTGGCTCTGTCCTAAGCCTTGAGGACACACTAGAGAACAAAACAAAAAGTCTCTGTCGCTAGGGAGCGGGTATTTTAGTTGGGAGGGGCAAACAAATGATGATTAACTACTCTACATAGTTATTTTAGAAAGTAGTGACAACTGTGGGAGAAAAGCGGGGGTGGGGATAAGGAGTTGCTACAGTCTGGGGAAGAGGTGAAGTTTTAAATAGATGGGTGGGGGACGGCCCCACTAAGGTGACCCAAAGGTGAGGAAGGAGCCTTGCGGGCATCTGGGGAAGTGCATTCCAGGCGGCGGGAATAGCCAGTGCAAAGGCCCTGGGGCAGGAGCTTGCCTGGTGTGGTTGGAGGACAGCAGTTGGACCCGACCACGAGTTTTGGCCACCAGCTCCGGGAGGACAGGAAGGACCTCCTGGGTACCCAGTGCTGCCCCACCACAATGCCAGTGTATTTGGATCCCCATGATTGGTTTTGTTTTGTTTGACCATGATTATTTTTTTCACGTGGGCCGTCCCTGTGGAGACCACGTGGGATGGGAGTGGGGCCAGCATCTACAGCTCCCCGCCCCGCCCCGTGGTCACGCCCCCTTTCCACCCCACCACAGGAAGACAAGAGCCTGGTTCATGGTAATGTGTGTGGCCGGAACATCCTGCTGGCGAGGCTGGGACTGGCAGAGGGCACTAGCCCCTTCATCAAGCTGAGCGACCCTGGTGTGGGCCTGGGTGCCCTTTCTAGGGAGGGTGAGGACCCGAGCAGGGCTGGGTACAGGGACAGGCTTCCCTCCCACTCTTTTCACCCTCGCTGACCTCTGACCCTGGCCCCTAGAGCGGGTGGAGCGGATCCCCTGGACAGCCCCCGAGTGCCTATCTGGCGGAGCCAACAGCCTAACCACTGCAGCCGATAAATGGGGCTTTGGTGCCACCCTCTTGGAGATCTGCTTTGATGGGGAGGCCCCTCTGCAGGGCCGTGGCCCTTCCGAGGTATGTCCAGGGCATCTCTGGGCCCTTCCTACAGAGGGGATTGGTACCTCCAAGGAGTCTAGAGGGCACATTCGAGGTCCTGAGCTGCCTCCCCTCTGGCCGTGTGGCCTCACGTATTTAGGTGGCCTCATCTCTCTGGGGCTCCATCTGGTTATCTGTCAGTTGGGGTTAACAGTCTCTACCCCATAAGGTTGTTGAGACACACAGCAAGTAAGTGACATGGTTCAGTTTTAAGCAGAGCGATCAGGGCCGTCATGGGAGAAGCCACAGGCTGTGGGGGTGAGGGAGGACCAGAGGACTCCCCTGAACCAGCTGAGGGGTCCGGCAAGGCTTCCCAGAGAAGGTTTTAATCTAAGTACAGAAGTCTTACTTTCCTACTTTCCTACCCAGGCTAGGAAGTGCAGCCTAGCAGAGGTCACGGCATGTACAAAGGCCCAGAGGCCTCAGATTGTGGTTGGAGCTTCCAGGAGGCAGAGAGTGGAGGAGCCAGGGCAGGAAGGGCCTAGTGTGAGCTGCTCTCAAGCACAGCAGAGTCAGCTGGACTTGGGGTCGAGCCCCAGCTCTGCAGTGGTGGCCAAGTCCGCTTCCCTCCGCCAAGCCTCAGTCGCGTCATCAGTAAAATGGGAACGACCGGAACAAGGACCTAGCCTGCTCTGGGAGCTTGACTGTCTTTTGGAGAAGGGGACTGGAGGTAGGTGGTGGGCACTGACTGCTGTGGGTCTCCTTCCCGGCAGAAAGAGTGCTTCTACCAGAAGCAGCACCGGCTTCCTCAACCCTCCTGCCCGGAGCTGGCCACACTCACCAGCCAGTGCCTGACCTATGAACCAGCTCAGCGGCCCTCCTTCCGCACCATCCTGCGTGACCTCACTCAGCTGCAGCCCCAAAGTGAGCCCCGCTGCATTGCTGGGACTCCTGCTTATGCCCGCCCGGGGTGCCTGAGGTTTCTGCCCAGTGACTCATGTCACGTGTGACAGCGTCTTACAGGCGTTCGAATGCCTGTGCTGAGACCATCCCAGGTGTCCATTAGGATGCAGCCACTTCTGCATTTTGGACATGACAGAATTTTCCAGCCGTTGCAAAAAAAAAAAAAAAGTTTCCTTATATTTGAGATCAGATGCTGGGGGAGCGGTGGCCCCCTCTCTGTGCCCCCAAGTGTGGGCCTGCTGGGGAGGAGGCCGGGGTTCAGGGACACCCACTGTGGCTCTTCTAGATCTTGCTGACGTCTTGGCTGTGAACCCCGACTCGCCTGCGTCAGACCCCACCATTTTCCACAAGCGCTATTTGAAAAAGATCCGGGATCTGGGCGAGGTGAGGGGCCTCGGGCCTGGGGCAGGCCTGAAGTTAACTGTGGAAATATGGGTGGGGCCTGGCCTAGAAGACCTTCGGCCTCAAGGGTGGCTCTAACGCTTTGAGAAGGAGCCCTTGACCCCGAAGGAGACCCACTAACACGGAGTAGGTGGGGCTTAGGATTTTCCGAACGGACCCGGCTGGGGGCGGGGCCTGCGGAGCCGGGGTAGGGCCGACCCGCCTGCGTGTTCCCGGGGCCAGGGTCATTTCGGCAAGGTCAGCCTGTCCTGCTACGACCCCACGAACGACGGCACCGGCGAGATGGTGGCCGTGAAGGCCCTCAAGGCGGACTGCGGCCCCCAGCTCCGCAGCGGCTGGAGGCGGGAGATCGACATCCTGCGCACGCTCTACCACAAGCACATCGTCAAGTACAAGGGCTGCTGCGAGGACCCAGGTGGGCGGGACCGGCAGGGCCTGCGGCCAGTTAGAGCTTCTGGCTGGAGCCACCGGCCGGAGGACGCGCTAGGGCGGCTGCGGCCGGGGCTGCCCCCTTCCCGCCTGGGGTACCTGGGGATGCGTTTTAGGGTGGGCTGGCCCGCTTGAGGCCTGGACCTGGTGTGGGCGAGGCAGGGCCCCACCTTGCGGGCGGGCGGAAGCTGCGGGGCTCAGAACGGGCGGCCCCCAGCCCCTGCGTCCATCGCCCGCGTGGGCCACCCGTCTCCCGCATCAGGCGAGAAGTCGGTGCAGCTGGTCATGGAGTACGTGCCCCTGGGAAGCCTGCGGGACTACCTGCCCCGGCACAGCGTGGGCCTGGCGCAGCTGCTTCTCTTCGCCCAGCAGATCTGTGAGGTGGGCCCACCGGCCCCTGTTCCTTGCGCCCGGCCCCCTCCTCCTCGGCCTGGCCTAATGGCCCCATTCCGTCTGCTCATCAGTCCCCACTCCTGGCCCGGCTCCTCAGCCCACCCAGTTTCCAGCAGCCCAGTCCCTCCCGATTCTCTGCACCCCTGCTGCCAGCCCCGCTCCCTTCTGCTGCTCCCAGCCGCCACCCTGCCCGCGCCTGCCTGGTTCCCGCAATCCTGACCTGACCCCCCAGCCCCCCCACCCCCTTCCAGTTCGGCTCCGCGCTCCTCAGGCTCTGCCCTGCCCCACTGAGCCTGACTCGCCCTTCCCCCAGGGCATGGCCTACCTTCACGCACAGCACTACGTGCACCGAGACCTGGCTGCCCGCAACGTGCTGCTGGACAACGACAGGCTGGTCAAAATCGGGGACTTTGGCCTAGCCAAGGCTGTGCCTGAAGGCCATGAGTACTACCGCGTGCGGGAAGATGGGGACAGCCCCGTATTCTGGTGACCGGACAGGACCCGCCTGGAGTGGGGTGTCAGGGTCACCTTTAGCAGACAGGGTGAAGGGGATAGATGCTGGGGTCTCAGATGACAGTGCCTGGTCCCAGGGAAACTGCCCGCCCCCCCCCCCAAGGATGGGGCCCTGACTGGGACCAGAGAGCCCTTAAGCCCCAGGTAAGGACTCCCAGCTGGTCTGGCCCAAGGCCTGAGTGCCTCATCCCCCCCAGGTATGCCCCAGAGTGCCTGAAGGAGTGTAAGTTCTACTATGCATCTGACGTCTGGTCCTTCGGGGTCACCATGTATGAGCTGCTGACCTACTGTGACTCCAGCCAGAGCCCCCCATCGGTGAGAGCCAGGCCCTCAGCCCCACCCCAAAGCAGAGGTGCTAGAAAGGCACGCCTTGGATTCCCAGCTCTCCCACTGTAGGGAGTGCTTGACCCACCTGGGCTTCACAGTGCCACGATGTAAAACGGGCCCCTTGCAGTGGCGGGGGGG